ATGAGATTCTGCTGAAACGTCGCTGCAACTTTAAAAGCACAACTAATATGACGTGGGAAAATACCCGAACAAAGCTGAATGCCATACATACATACATACATATACGTATACGTATACGTATACGTATACATATACATATACATATACATATACATATACATATATATATATATATATATATATGATTGAATTTAGAAAGGAATGAGATAATTAAATCAACGTTGAGAAAACTAAGGGAAGGGAAAAATTATTGGGAAAATTTTAAAATAGTAATAAGATATGGAATAGAACACAAAGATGAATATGAAATTGAGTTTGTGTCTGTATGAAGAAGTGATAACCCGGGACCATGCTATTCTCAAAAAAAGATATTTTATTTGTATTATGTTTTGTGAAAACCTAAATAAAATTTTTACAAAAAAAAATATTGCCAAGAAAACTGCAAGGATTTGTTTACAAATGAGCAATGATTTATGGCACCAAAGGGAGGGGATAGAAGTGTATACACCTCATCTTCTATTTTATATGAGAGGATCAAAATATTTTTCAAAGCACCAAAAGGCAAGATGAAAAACAATGGATGGAAACTATTCCAGGAGAGAAACAGCCTAGGACTAAGGAGAAATTTCCTAGCAGTGGGAGCAATCAACCAATAGAACAACTTGCCTTCAGAAGTTGTGGTCCTCCATCCCCAGAGGCTTTCAAAATGACATTGGGCAATCATTTATCTGAAATGGTATAAGGCAGGAGTGTCAAACTCAAGACCCGCGGGCCATATCTGGCCCACAGGGTGCTTAGATCTGGCCTGCTGGGCTGGCCTGGAAACAGCAAAGGACTGGTCCATGGTGCGTCTGCCAGCAAAAATGGAGCTTGGGGATCATGGCTCCATTTTCACTGGCAGAGGGCTGCAGAAAGCCATTGTGGCTGAAAATGGGACATGGCGGGCTGCACATCCCCCTGAGAAATGTTTCCCCTTTTGCACTTGAGCATGCAAGAATGGACAGGAAAGGAGAAAGGGAAAGAGGAAAGACACAGATAAAAAAGCAAACATGGAAAGAGAGCAAGGAAGAAAAAATAAGGAAAGAAGGGAAAGAAGAAGAAAGGAGAATGAAGAGGGAAGGAAAAAGAAAAGAAAGGGAGGGAGGAGGGAAAGGAAGGAAGGAGATTATAATAAAAGTGAACGAGGGTCTCAGGGATGTCCTGCCTTAACACTTAGCTACCATAGATGCCCCCGACATGAGTGATGTTAAGTTTGCCATGGCCACCATGGCCACACACCACAGCCATACCCCCCCCACCAGCCCTTGGAGGTCAAACACAACCCTGCTGCGTCCCTCAATGAAATCGAGTTTGACACCCCTGGTATAAGGTCTCCTGCTCAAGCAAGGGGCTGGACTAGAAGACCTCCAAGGTCCCTTCCAATACTATTATTTTATGTTCTAAGTCCATGTGAGCATCATAATTACATCAATTAAAAATCATCATTCTGGGTATAGCCACCCTTGGGCAGGAATGGGAGAAACCCCCTCCAGATGGAAAACTTTTGTTTAGCTTCCTGCTGAGTCTTTGTAACACTTCATTATATTTATTCTTCTGATAAGCCATTGAGACATCTTTAAAGTTGCTGAATTAGCATTTAAGTCAACCCTTTTATTGTTCTTTGGAGACGGCACTCTGTCACTTTGTATCTATGGATTCTAAAGAGAGCTGGCAGTAAATAAATAATGCATCAGGCATATTGCTTCATGAAATTTGTTCCTAAAAAAAAACTTACTAAGCTCGGTGATGACAGAGATCCGTTTGGAAAAACTGCGTGATTGAACTCCAATTGAATCTTCACTGAATCCCTTCGGATTAACTTTTGATATCAGTATAAGAGGGATGGGGGGGGGGGAGAAAAGAAACAAAGAAAGTCAGGCATAAATATAAGAGGTTCTGAATCTGCCAACAAATGCTTCTTAAACTTTATTTAATGCAAACAAAGAGACATTTCTTTGGCCTTCAGTTCAGTTCCAGAACTTCATTATCTTGGAAGCTTTGCAGAATTACAAATGGGACTCATTTTTCCCAGGCTGTTTTTCTTTTTTCTCAATAACCCAGTTTAATTCACTTCTTAATTAATGTGCTGTACAGAATGCAGCTATTCAATAGATCAGGTTTTCTCTGATGTTGCGGTATAGCACTTGGCTTTAAAATTGGAAATGCTTATTTTGATGGTAAGATGTGTATGTGAATGGCAATAAATTCACATGATTAAGTGCAAGTCTTCTTAGCTTTACCTCTCCCCCAACCCTTGCACAAAACAGGAAGTAAAGGGTCTGAAAATTACATACATGTAAAACAGACATAGATTAGAGAAATGGTCAGACCTGCCCCAGTCTGATCCCTTAGGGAAGAAAAACCCTAGACTCCATTTGGTTGAAGTGAAAGGTACTAAGAAATGCTGGTTGCAGTAAAGTAAAGCAGAATCTGAGTTTCCCACACAAGACAAAACTGTTTCCTTCAGTCCCATACCTCTCCCCATAACCAGTCCAAACCCAGCCAATGTTATGCCATGGGGATGTTTTGGGAATGCTGAGGTATTTAAGCTAGTAACTTTCCACACTCGGGAAAATGGTATTGAAGATGGCTGGCATGAACTGGTTCCACATTGATCTGCTTTTCTTTACTTGTCATTCCCCCTCCTGAATTCCCACACAAAAATGCATACAGGTTTATTGCCCATTTGTCCTCCCCTCATGCTCCCCCCTTGCAGTCCTTTGATAGCAGGATACCACCAGGGCACCAAGCCAAAGATGGTGGACCTCACATAAACACAGGTCTCATAACTTCTGATCAGTTGTGTGGGATCCTCTTTTTCAGAGATGGTGCAAAAGCTTTATATATTCAGTACCAATTTGGCTACTTGGTTTGCTCACTGCTTGCCTTAGCCAACCAACAGCATTGCCCATTGGCCCTCTTAAAGGAATATGAAGAAAAAACATTGCCATCACTTTCTTTTATTTCTGTTACAATGCTTTAAAGTACTGCAACATGATAGGCAGTAGCAACAAACACATACTTATATCTGCTCTTCCCTTCCTCTCCATTCATTTCTCCCAAGAAAATTCCAGAAAAATTCTCTCATTTCCCTGGCTGCAATGACAAATCATTTATCCCATAGCAGTAGTTTTCAGTCACTGGCCCATGGATCTCTGAGTGACCATGATATAATCAAGGGGGGGGGGGTGAAGGGTTGGAAAAAATGTTAGGATTTAAATCTCATGTTAAGTCTTGGGGGGTCCATGCTAAACAAAAGGTATTTAATTGGGCTCCATGTGAAGAAAAGGTTTAGAACCACTGTCCTACAGCATACTTCCATGCATTCTGATGGTGTGTCAGGAATTGAAAAGTTATCAATGTGGAAAATCCATTATCTTTGCTGATCTACCTTAAAAATATTCCTTTTGCTTTTTAGTAAAATCAGCAAAGTTGTCAGGAAGGAAGAGATGTAGACATTTCTGGGGCAATTTAAAAAAGCCTCATAAGACTGAAACTCTGCTTCATCCTAAAAGGGAGATTTAAAACATCTAAAGTCCTCTAAAATATAAAAGTAAAGGTAATTTTTTTCCTTGTCTAGTCATGTTCGACTGTAGCGGGGGATGCTCAACTCCATTTCTTAGTTGAGGGTGCCAGCATTGTTCAAAGATGCTTCCATCATCATGTAGCCAGTATGACTATATGCTGAAGGTGCTGTTATCTTCCGATCGAAATAGTACCTATTTATCTACTCACATCTGCATGCTTTTGAACTGCTAGGTGGGCAGGAGCTGGGACAAGGAATGGGAGCTCACCCTGTCATACCGTGGGTGGGTCTCGAACCCTAGCCATCAGCTTTCCAGCTAACCATTTCAACATCTTTAACTGCTGAGCCATCACACCTCTCAAAGTCTTCCAGGACACCATCAAAGACAGTAGATTCACATCCTAAATATTCCAGCCTTAATATATTTTTGCAGAATTGCCATTCTCATATTCACATCTTTTGGCCTGATTGACAAAATTGGATTTTTATTTATTTATCATATTTAGAGACCACCCTTCTCCATCATAGAACATTGAAAAAAAGGACAATTGCAATTATTTCAACACAAAAGAACAAACTAAATTTATGAAAAAAGGAGGAAAAATTATACATTTGATTGGCTTAATCGCCTCTTCTAATTGTTGTTTTTTGACACAAAATACACACTGCCTGCATATAAGCCTTGAAAATGAGGGAAACATTCCTTACTTCTTAACTTAAATCCTTTAAAAAATGCAGTAATTATTTCTCTCTCCAATATGTTAATGACAAAAGCAAGGTCATACTGCTAAGGTGGTAATAAATTGGATTAAAAGTAAAATTGGCTGTATAAGCAGGAATTTGGGCAGTATTAAACATGTGGGTGGGATTGTTTTGTCAAAAGCTAAAGGAATTAAAAATAGATACTGGAGCATCCACATAGACAAATGCAATCCAGGGGGAACTGTTATGCAGCTGTTAATCCAGTTTATATGTCAATGAACCTATAGCAGCCACTCAGCAAATTGTAAAAACAGTCTGAAGAGATGAAAGGATTTCACACATGCTATAAGAGGGTCCTAAAGACAGTGAAATTATCAGCATCTCAGAAAGAGGATATACACTGCTTAAGTCAAATCTCTTTTAAGTCAGATTTGACCCAATGCCTTAGGTGGACACATCTGTGTTGTTACCTTGGCAACAAAACACATATTTTGTTATTGCTTTTCAGAAAACTTGTCTGTCTGCCCCCTCCCCCTCCCCCCTCTCATATCTATCTATCTATCTATCTATCTATCTATCTATCTATCTATCTATCTATCTATCTATCTATCTACCTACCTACCTACCTACCTACCTACCTACCTACCTACCTATCTCTATACCTACCTGTCTGCTTCCTTAACCTACCTATATATCTACCTACCTGCCTATCATGTTCTGGCTTAATCTAAATGAAAAATAAACTTCTATCCAAAAACTAACCAGGGTGACCATGCTTAGCAACCAAATTCAGATACAATTGACCACCCATTGCTACCTGCTGAGATCTGTAATTGTTTATTAATTGTGATCAATTTAAGCACTTAATGTAGCACCTCTTAAGCCATTATACTGATTTTTGCTTTCATTTTGTTAAAATATCAGATAATTGATCACAATTTCTGTAAGCAATAGACTTTTCCCATTCTTTTCCCGAAAAGAATGAACTTCTGAAAACTAGATATTTCAAAAGGAATCCTTTATTGAAAGGAGGTGAATCCAGTATTAGTGAAAGCAGAATCTAAGGTGCTTCCAGGCATACAGTATTAGATAAAGGGAGTTAGAACCCCTCCCCTTATTTAGATGTGGATTTAGTCAAACAAAGAACAAACATGTTTATTCCTCCCTCCCTTTTCCTAGGAACGTATCTTAGAGGATTTTCCCAGGGAGTAACTTCCAGAGCTGGAATTGTTATGGTCCCTTCTCCTCTTGCTATCTCTCCAAGAGGTGACAAGTTTCTAGCCATCTGGCTCCAATCGTCCAGTTGTATATCATGTGCTGTTATACAGATTCAATATAAGATTTAATATATTCAGGTTACATCAAAAAAAGATTACTTGTAACAACTCCCCCCCCCCACTTCTTCTTACATTGAAGAATGGCAGATACACAGATCTGACATCCTGCCCTCCTCAAAAATTTGATAAATCCACCTGGAAGACCTAAAACATGTGTTACATTTACAATTTAGGATGGTTTATGAGGGTATTTCAGGTGGAACTTCCGTAATAATGTGGGTGCTTTTACATATTGTTTGGCTACCCACTCATTTTTTGAGGAAGGAAGGTGTTTCCAAGCTACTAAATATTGTGTGGATCCACAATGAGTGTGCGAATCAAGGATATCTTTAATTTCAAAATGTTGTTCCCCATGTACCATAATGGGAGTTGGAGGTGTGGGAGGGGGGATCTAAGGTTTGAAGTGATCTCTGGTTTGAGTAGGCTACAGTGAAATACTGGATGAACCTGTCTAAATGTTTTGGGAAGTAGAAGCTCTACCATAACAGGATTAATAATTCTGGAGATTAAAATGGTCCAATGAATTTTGTTCCCAATTTCTTCAAGAGTTGCAATGATTTTAGGAATTTTGTGGACAAATATACACGGTCCCCAACTTTGAATGCTTTAGGATCACAACTTTTTTTGTCCGCTTGAGTTTTAAAAGCTGCTCAAGCCTTTTGTAAGGCTAATCTGACCACTGGCCAAGTGGCTTGCAAATTATTAATCCACTCCTTAAGGGAGAGAATTTCAGGTTCCATGGTGGGTAGTTCTGGCATGGGGTTGAATTCTTGGCCTATGACTACCTGGAATGGGGTGAAACCCATGCTGCTCTGGACTGAGTTGTTGTATGCTACCTCTGCAAAAGGAAGAAGGTCAGTCCAATTGCCCTGTTGGTAATTAATAAAGCATGTTAAATATTGTTGTAATACGCTCTTCAATCTTTCAGCTCTACCATTAGTCTGGGGTGATTTGATGATGACAACTCATGGGTGGAGCCTAATAGGTTTAAAAAAGCCCACCAAAATGCGGATGTGAATTGTCCACCCCTATCTGAAATAATCCGTTGGGGAGCTCCATGAAGGTGATGAACGTGTATTAAAAACATCTTTGCCAAGGCCTTGACTGTTGGGATCTTTTAGCATGGTGCAAAATGAACCTGTTTTGAAAAAAGATCAGTTACAACCCAAATGACAGTATTCCCTGTACTTTCAGGGAGCTCCACTATAAAGTCCATAGAGATCTCTTTCCAGGGTGCTGAAGGTTCTGCCACTG